AAATGACTTCAATTTTTCAAAGAAGGATCTCCAAGCACTTTTGATTTGAGAATTAAATTTCATGAATGTTTAAGTTCATTTATATGATCAAACCTCAAACTCTAATTCATAGGTTTAACTTAAATTTTAGAATAATAATTAAAAATCCAAGTTAATTCCTAAAAATGTAAAGTAAATTATCTTGGGGTCTTAATAATCTCTAGAAATAAGGAGAGACAGATTTCTAAAATTTTAAATAAAAACTTTTCATTTAAATAACTATGCTAATAACATACATCATTAAATCAAATAAATCATAAAAAATAAGAAACAAATACAATTAACTTCAAATTGTTACGAGATCTTCATGAGACCAGATCCATCTCTTGTGATAAAGCTTATCAAATTTTGAGTTAATATAATTGAAATTTTAAATATGTTCATTAAATAATATAAAAATATAAAAAAATTCAAATTAATTTCAAACATGTTAAAATTTTTACCGGAGGTTGCTATACTTACCCCTAACCCCTAGTAATTTTATATAAATTTTTAAGCTTATCTAAACAACAAAATAAATTTTTATCATTAAATAATTAATAATAATATAAAATTTAGAACAATTCAAAATAACTTCAAACTTCAAATTTTCATATGATATTCCTAGAGTTGTCTCTAGCATCAAAGAATTATTTTATGAATTTTAGATATCATCTAAACCTAAAATAAAAATTAACAAACTCTAGACTTAATAAAAGAATAATTAGATAACCTAGAAATTAAAAATATTATCAAAAATTAAATATAAATAAAAATAGTTAAATGAATTTCTATAAACTCATAAAATTACAAAGATTAATAAACTAAATAGTTTAAAATGTCATCAAATTTAAAATTAAAAAACTTTGGCAAATTCCTATATAAAATTTTTAAATAAATACAAAATCATAAAAAACACTTGTTTACTTTTGATGCAACTCACCTCTTAGGTGGAGGCATACATCTTACTATATTTAGGATGCTTCCAATGGTAAGGTTCACCTAAGGATGAATATTATACATTTAAAGTATTATTTAAAACCTTAAAATAAAAAAAAAAAAACCTAAACTATAACCCAAATAAATTTTTTAAAACACAAATGACTTAAATTTGAAATTACTTGTGGATTAAATTGAATAATTTAAAATTAAAACAGAGACAACAAATAAATAATACCCTCACAATTTAGCACACACTAGGTGTTTGATATGACCCTCCAAAAGCAAACTTGCATTTTGACAAGTGCGTCAACATATAAATCAAAATCAAGACAGTTCTTAAGTGTTGCATGCTCTACTCGATAGAAAATGTAACTCAAAATATGTTATGTTGGAAATCATCTTAATGCATCAAGAGACATAAAATTGCTTTAAAAAACATGTGTATCACTAAAAGAACAAAATGAAAGCACTCGCCTTCAAACTCTAACTCATCATATTACATGCATGGACTTTATCAAATTGCCCTGCCTATAGGAAATCATCTTTAAGTCCTAATATTCTGGCATGATCCTTCATGAAAAAGAAGTGGAGTCACATGGCTAATAACTGATGAATTTTCATAATTTTAGAAGTTTTATATAAAAGAAGGGTCAAATGGGCCCACATTCTATTGGGAAAGATTGTAAGCCCCAAATTTTAGGTCAGATTCTTTAAATGCCAATAATGGACTCAACAAGACCTATTCTACTATTTGCAAGCCTAATCCTCCACAAAAAGAACTGGATTTCATAAGGCTAACAACCTAATGATGTCTCTTAATTACAAAAGTTTTAAAAGAAACATGAATAGACTACCTTGCCTATATGCAAAGTGATAAGTTCCAAAATTTTAAGTCTAATCATATATATGTTTAAAATGGAGCAAATAAGAACTACTCGAGGAATTCCGCTAGGCCAGATCGTCCATTTGTTAAAAGGTTGGAGTTAGCGGGATCCACATCCTAAAGACCATTCTTGTAGCAGAATACTCATGAAAATCCGAGTCTTACTCAAATCAAACAAGCTCGCATTATCATATCTTGAATATCAAATATTGGAGCATAAATCTCGCTAAATTATTTTGTTTACATTTGCACAAGATCTTTAAGGCTTTTTCCAAATAATATCAATTGTAAAAAGAAAACACTGGCGATGATTATGCCTACAAGGCACAACCGCAATATCTAAATTACAAAATTAATTATTTATAAATAGTCGACACAATTTGCAACACAATAACTATCTTAAGTAACTCAAATGACACACAAAACTGTGAACTAAGTCATTTGTAAACAAGGAAGTAGAGTCAACAATATTCAAAACGATAAGTTTAATCATTAAGTTGGCCCTATGATGGGCACATTTATTGCGCATCATAATCAGACATGTTTATTAATCAACAAAACTCCTGATTTCTTAGGCTCATGGTCACCCATGGTGGATCATGGAAAATCCAAAGAAGATAAAAGCAATCCAGGAAATGCAAATCTTAAGCAATAATAACAAGTCTAACATTTGAATGAATGTATAATTGTCCTATCTCATTTCCTCATCAGGATTGTGGTTAAGTTTCTAGCGATGAAGAATTTTGGTCCACCTTTGAGCAACTAAAGGCTTATTTATCTTTATCATCTCTATTGTCAAAGCCAATTACAAGAGAAGTCCTATACACCTATGTTGGTTCTATCCCCAAGCACTTCTCTTATAATTGGGGATATAACCAACATAGGTGTATAGGACTTCTCTTATATTGGCTTTCACAATACAGATTAGAAAAAACAAACCTAAGGTTAAGAGAAGATGGAATGAATAAAACATGAGAAACACAAAATACCATAGGAAGTTCGAAGCTGGAATGAAGGATCTGCGGACAGGCCATGAAACAAATGCGACTCTAAAGTTCGGAACGAACGTGATACGCAAAGTCGCAAACAAAGGAACCGCTTCCGCCTTCCGCATTCATTCTATTTCTTTTCGTGAAAAAACCTAAACCCATTGTCCGCTCGCCTCACAAATGCTTTGTCCCGCAATCCGCAACCACGCTTGTCTGATTGGATCAGATGTTTGCCTCTGCGGACCCATTATTCAAGCAACTTGACAGGCTGCCAAGTCGAGCGGTTCTTTGATCGAGCTCGAGCTCGATATACTACTCGAACTCAAGCTCGAAGCTCGGCTTGTGAACTCCTATGATGCACAAACACGGACACAGTAACACAGATACAACACGACACAAACATCTAGTGTCGAGCATCAATGTTAAGAAAGTGTCAAAAACTTTGATCTTGAGATAGTTTTGAAAGGTCAAAATTGTAACGACGTCAAACGTCGATGTTGAGATGACATCGGGCATTGTTGTGAAACTAAAGTCACAACCCTCCAAAGAGAAATAAAAATGAGAATATTTGATGAATGAGGTATTGAGTGCATGTGATTAATTTGGTGTTGCGGAGAGGAAATAAGAAATTTAATTTTTATATTTTAAATAAATAAAAATTTTAAATACAAGAAATTATATTTTAAAAAATTTATAAAATATTTAATACACGTGCGTCCAATTTGTATTTAATATATTTTTTAAACAAACACGTTTTTTGCGTGTCCAACACATGTCAGATGTGTGTCTTGTCAACTACGTGTCAGATACTACACGACTCTTTGAGGATAAGTGTCGATGCATCATAGGTGAGCTCGTTACCGGGTCGAGCTCGAGTAAGCTTACGAGCCGACTTGACTCGCTTGCACCCCTCCACTATGCAACACCAACAACTCCAAACTCTTTTCACCACAAACCATAGGAGATGCTAACACAATTCAGGTCTTTTACATTGTACTCACACTTTCTCCAAATTTTGGAAAAAGCTGTCCTATATAATCTAGGATTACAGCTAGTGGAATCCATTTAAGTGTAACATCATGTCTTGTGTGTGTTACAACAAATTTTTTGATTGTGGGATCTCCATTTGAAAATAAGAAATAAAATCCCCAATCTATAGTCATGAAATTCTAGCAAGCAACAATACATAGAGGTTAAAGTTTAATTGTGTCTTCAAATTGAAAACCACATAATACATATATTTTAACCAGTTGTGAAGTTAACCAAATAATGTTTCAACGATATTTTATATCATATTAATGAAAAAGAAAGACAATTAAACATGTTATATACAAAAAAAGTGAATCTATCATGCATACCAATATATTTATTACTTGTCCCACATTTTTCCAATTTGCATAGCTAATAATTATTTATCTAAGGTGACAATCAAAAAACCAAAATATCCAATGGGACTGCAATTTTGTATGTGCACTCCCAAAAAGTTGCTTTTCTACGTTACTCGTTAAAACAAATCCTGCTTACCAAATATCTCAAGAACTTAAACATAGAGCTAAAAAGATGTCCATACCAGCATATTCTTAGCGCATCAGATGCCGAATTGGGACCATATGCAATTCCAAACAATTTGTAACAAGATGACTCATATAATGCATGAATTATTTCAAGACACGGAAAACAACTTTCGTTCAAAGCTAGTTATAATATGACTAAACGATTAAATTCTCAACTTTTGGTGCTAGAAATGAAATTCAAAGTCTGTGTCCAATGTAGATAGAAGCGTGTCTTTACCGTAGTAGCGTCAGTTTTTTTTCAAGTATAGAACTCTTTGCTAAAATATGAAGTACTTCAATATTGATCCAAACATGAAAAATTAACCAGCAACTTAATTAGTATCAGATAACAAAGTACAGCCCAATGCGATTCTCAAATATTATCTGCATATTTAGCCAACGTTAATAGATTTGAGAAAACTCATCCATTTTCGGAAGTAAATTCTCAACTATTATACACTTCAACTTTATAAAAGAAAAAAAAAAAGAAAAACGACATCAATGGAATACGTCAAATCGTTACTTTTAAATGGTGAAGTTGCTAGAACTTATCGTTTGAGAAGAGAATAAAGGACGATGGTTACATTAATAAGTGGGATCAAATGAAATTCAAACCTATGGATCTCTTTCAGCCACTTGTCAACACAAGTCTGGTGAAATTCATGCTGGCATGGTAGTGTCCTAATATATTCTCCATCTTCATATTCCACAAGGCAAATGTAGCATCTGTAAAATCAGAAAAAGCCAATTTAATGCAAATTAGTGCATCTCAATAGCAAACATACGATTATACCACGTCTTCCTAAAGTTAAAATTCAAGAAAATCAGAGTTCCACTTCAGGATAACAGGAAACATATTAATTTGTTTATTTGGACACATTAGTTAACCTGTAAAAAATATGAACAGAATTAAAGCTCATTGTAAAGCTTTTCAAGACAGATGGAAAAATTATGAAACAAGAAATAGTGATGATACATTGAGCCTGTACGAGATGCTTCTTCTCAAGAGAGCAATGAGAGAGAGAAACAGAGAGAGAGTGTGTGTATTCTGTGAAAGCAAAGATAGATACTCACTGTGGAACCTCCTGATTCAAGTGTGTTTTTGATTTCACATAAACTTTCAGCGGAATGTTATCCACAGCCTCTTTTGGTGCAGGAAAAGATCCAAGAGAAGAAATTGATTGCCTGGATGAAAGTACAGCGGATTGCTGGTGGATTTCATCCAAAACCTACATGTTTGAATTGTCATGAAATAATGATAAACTTCTAGTACTAGACAGCTAATTTAGTAAATTCGATTATTACAGTGGAACAATCACGTTTGAATGAATTATTTTTAAAAAATTCATTTCCCGCATCTTATCATATTTACAAAAAAATGTGTATTTTAAAACTCAAAAGTCAATTATTTTGTATATGCTTTCAATATTTTATGAAACATACACCTAGCCAAATTGTCATTTTGACATGTAAAGATTAGAATTTTATTAAAATAACTGATGTTTTTTTTTTCTTTTTCTTTACCTCTAGCATTGAGTCAATGTAGCCTTCTATCTTTTATATTGCACTCTGTGGTTAAGGCCATCAACTTTTCTAGACTTTAAAATTGAGATGATTTAAATTAAATTTGAACTTTTTTTTTTTTAAATATAAATTCAATCTTGATAGACTTTTTAATGTCACTAAGTACATATATATCTTTATTATACTTAAAATTTGCATATATTAGTATACAAGTTTTCTGGTATTCCTTTCTTTTCAGAATTTAGACTGAAAATCATATAATTCAAGCACATATCAATGCTTGTTAAATAAACCAGTTCCATGTTTTACCGAGTTTACACAGTATGGAAGTCATCTTTACCTCAAAAAGTGCCTCAGCTAGCATGACAATTCTTGAGATGCTGGAGGTGTTACTAGTGTCATTATTATCATGGGGATGTCTGTTACTTAATCTGCATGTGCACTGTCCTGTTCGGTGCTGTCCAGATAGAATGCAGGATCTATCATGGCCTGATAGGTTCTCAAACCGGCTACCTAGCCTCTGAAGAGCTCGAACCTGCCAGTAGACATCATGTTATAGAAGCTTGTAACAACGAAAACTGAAGTGATGTGTGTAGTTACCTGGGATCTTATTCTCCTTCTTCTCTCTAGAAAAGCTGATCTATGCTCCAACAAATCATGATTACCAATCTCTCTAATCTGTGAAGCTCTTGAGGTATGAAGCTGGCCACTTCCAGTAGACCCATCCACATGTGAAGACAGCAGTGCTTCGTTAGCCTGAGTAGAACTTGATGTCCTGGCCATGGTTTGCCTACTGAAAACCTGACTGTTGGACCTTATCAGTGACCTCTCTTCTAGAAGTAATGCCCCAAACAAATCCTCAGATAATGTACTTCTCCGAAGAACTCTATCACGGAGCCGTCCAACACTGCGTGTTCTGCTAAATCGCATGCTTCCTTCCAAAGGTAAGGGGGGTCCATGGCGTCGAAAATGGTTCATAACATCACTGTTGTCAGTTTCCTGGAGATTTTGATGGGAGAGTTCTTCCAAGCTAGCCTCAACATGTACACTGCTTCTATCATTATCATGATTATTTTCCACTCTAATATTTTCCCCACTTCCAGTACTATTACCAAAAGAGCCATCATCTCCTGAAGAAACATTATTTCGGGATGATCTCAAAGCACTGGCTTTACATATTCTAAAGCAAGTTCTGTCTGGCATGAAAGTACAAGGACAATGCAAGCAGCCTGAATGGTTGGAAGATTGATCAATTAAGGATAGTCCCTGAGAATTGCTGCATCCTGGATCATTTTGATGCATAAAGCTTTTCATTCCCCTGTTCTGATCAATATTAGTATTAATCAATGAAGTACACTGGCAAACAGTAAAGTCTCCGCAGGATGCATGATTTTCTAGGCATGATTTGCTTGCACCGTCATCTCTACATGTGCTTCCTTTTGAACTCCTATGAATTTGTGCGATCTAAAAATAAGAACACAAACAAAATCAATTAGTTTCCCTTGGCGGGAGTTTATTAGTCAAAGAAAATATAATATTTTAGCTAGGTTGAATAAATTTCCATCCTTCAAAATTATGAAAATTTATATTGTTACAACAAAAGAAAGAATCTATTGATTTTCTCTCAATTATTCACTTTTCTCTTTCTCTACCTTTCTCTTTCTAATATTTCTATTTCCATCAATCATTTTCTTCAAAATCACCCAACCAGCCTCTTTCTTGCTATGGAAGAAGAATGTTAAGGGCTTATCTACGTTAAAATTTAGTAAGAAGAATGTCTAGTGGGAAAATGCTTTAAATTTTCTTGAACACTTGCATTTGTATATTTCAAACTAATGACCCGAGTATACTTTTTCAAAGCTATTGAGCTGAATGAAACTGAGCGATTTTATATAACGAAGCAAGTCAACTAATGATTATGCAAAATACATAAAAAAATTGTCAAGTAGATTGTTGAGAGATGTCCAAGTCAACAAATTCGAAAACTTTTGTATTACCCTCATGTATTACTTGGCCTTCAATTTTTGAACAAAATTGCCGCCTCAGAAGGGCATCATTTTAGGCCAAAACTTTATTCTTTGCATCGATAACCATCGAGACTCATTTCTTGGAAGAGACTTCTCTTACTCTCAGTATAGATCTTGTTACAATATGGAGGAATCTGACTTCTAAAACTAAACTTTCTGACTATTAGATATTAATATTTTCAACATGATGCTTAATTCATGACACAGTTCTCATGATAGTAATTATTAAAGTAGGCCAACTTCAAGTTAAATCTTCATATGCAAGAATTTGTATATTTAAAAAATTAATAAATAACTGCACTAATAAAATAAAAACTGCTTCAAAGCATAAGATGATATTTACTTCATTCCATTAGTTATATCATTTTTCCTTCTAATAAAAATCATGTTTTGAATTAAGTATAAGAGATGACTTTACTAAGAGATGACTTTATTCAGAATTAGGCAAAGCAAAGTTGGCCAAAAAATCAGTTAACATCTTTGCTTTGATTGCAATCATTAGCGTCTAGAAAATTTGGAATTCACTAAAACCCATTGACCATTTTAGTAGTGTCTCCTTAAGTAATCAAGTTTTGATAGAACCATTCTCAAAAGATGATCAATGCTAGCTAACCTAAATTGAATGTGCTTGAAAATATGACCGAAGTTGTCGAGCAATAATAACTAAAATCATGGCCAATTTCTTCACGATTGAATATCTCAATTCAGCTCCTCAAAGAATCTTACTCGAATAGTATATTGGCCACTATTTTTACTATCTTCCTTTATTAAAACAAAACTCACGGCTTCACCCCCTACTCCAAGATATAATAACAAATCTTCACCTGACTTAAGACTTTAGAGTCATGGAGGTGAAGAGAGAAGAGTTTTTAGTTGATTTGTTGCATTCATCATTTCATAGATATTTAAATCTTTTCATACATGGAGAAATAAGTAGCACAAACAAGAACTTCATAGCTCACCTTGAATTGGTGGATGATATTTAAATAAGAAGAAATGCTAACAAAATCCACCCAAAAAGCATTGGACAATCCTACATGCAACATCATGGTTCTAGCCCTAGCCCCTTTTGTCAGCGTTGTGTCCACAAAATGAGCTTCTCTAATAACAGACTACAAGAACTACTGGGTCTATAAAAGAAAAGTAATGCCACACTCAGATAAAACTAACTTTAACTAGTTTTTTTTTTCGTTCTTCTACTCAAGATTGATGTGTAGATTTCATCCATTTCTTTTGATTGTCATATAAAGTGGTGAAATGTGGAATAAAAAAATTTAATATTAAGTATGGATCGATTTGAGTGGTGCAGCATTACTCTTAAAGATATTTGAAACAGAAAATGATATTTTAACATAAAAAACAAAGCAACCGTTGCGATCAAGCCACGTCTAACCCTGCACAGGATTCCTTAATGACTACACGTAAATAAATGCAACGTTTGAGTTAAGTTAGTAACGCCAAGAGCAGCAATCATGCGCTCAACGTAGCTGAACTAAATGCAGAACGTCAGATTTTCATCAATCATAGTTGGGCCAGGAAAAACCTAATCAAAGAATACATTTACACCTGAGCAAGAGAAATCAAATTAAGTTTAAAAAAAAAACATTTTTAAAAGCCACCTGTTCATCACAAAGAGTGGGAGAGCAAGCAAAACAGCAATAGCTAAACACTCCAACTTCTCTAGATCTTGGTCTCATGCCTCCATCTTCCGACGCTTTGCTACTGCTCGATCCCATCGCCCAAGAATCCCCAATGTAGCTTCAATCACGTAATGCTTCTTTCCTCAACACCAGAACAACTCTCAAACCCTAAAAATCTGTCCCCCAGAAAACGGAATAAGAACAGGAAGATATCGAGGATATGCCACTGGCTTTTCTCGACTAAAAAAAATTACATCAAGAAATGGAAGGAAGAATACAGACGATCGGCAAGCGGTTAAGACACCGTAGGTGGGTTTAGGGCTTTTTTACTTCAATGATTTCTAATTCAGAGAAAGAGGGAGCGAGAGTGGTATGGGAGGCAGTGAAGTACACCGTTCTTTTTGAATCAGAGTGGGGTGCTGGAGGGGGACAGGTTACAGAGCTCTCCGCGCTAGCAATGGCGATGCGTTGGCCAGATCTGAGTGCGATCCGGTGCACGACTTCAGCCATAGGACAGCAAGCATCAATGCTATCGCCAATCTATAATCCCCATTAATCAATACTCTTAATAAATGAATCAATATTATTTATTATTTATTTATTTTAATTGGCCAATTTAAAATAGAGCTAAATTTTATTTAATTTGTGGATTTGTTTGAAGAGTGTAGCAATACTTATATGGGAAACAAATAAGAATAAATATTATATGAGGGATAAGAATAAATATTCTAAAGAGCTCATGTAGATCTCACATGCAATTAATAAAATAATTTTGTGCATCCATCCAATGCTCTTCATGTTCTCCTGATTTCCCACAAAGTTATTTTTTAAGGTTTTTGTTATTATATTATCCTAAAAATTGTTATCAATTAAAATACTTATGTTCTATTCAAAGCAGTGATTGATGGCAAGTAGAATGTAAATGAGTTCAAATATTATTGGTATATCATCATATTCTATTACGCGGTGTGTTTGATTGCGAGTGCAATTTATTAGGGTATTAAATCTTAAAAGTTATTTGATTATGTAATTGTTATATCTAGTTGAATTCTGATAAATTATTTGGTTTTTTAATTAAAAATTGAGGGAAATAAAGCAAAAATTCCCTTAAAATTTTAAAAATTATGATGTTTTATGAGTTATGATAAAATCACATGACCTAAGAATTCAATTAGTAAAACCCACAACAAAAGTTTCACTAAGTTTGTAATGGTAAAGTACCTTGTGTGAATGATAGAAGATGATATGGGATTGAATAATGGAATAGGATAAAAGGGTGCAAAAAGGTAAAAGGGAAAATGGTTTGGAGATGAAGTGGTGAATTCTGATATTGAAGAAAGAAATTGATAAGGTTGTCATCCTTATTTTGAATGATGAGAATTTTTGAATGTTTGAATGAACAAATTGGAAAATATAATCTGCCAAGAGTTTACAAAAGAGAAGGTGATTAATAGATTAACTAACTACCTGACATAGGAACCACTCAAGGTATGCGAAAGACATGAAAGGGCCTAAAAAAAAATCGATCTATGATATTGTTGAGATATCTCGAGACAAGAACATTGTTGCTAAGTGGATTTATATATGAGAAGAGAACTTGAGAATGGTTCTTGAGAAATACTTAAGAACCATGCACCAAGCACAAAAGAGTTAGAACCAGCAAGTAACATCCTAGAAGGTGATTGATAGACAAGCTAGCTTTGGACCTGAGAAGATATTGCACATTAGTGATGATATTATGGTAATGTTATTTTTCTATTGAGGTGTCAATGTGGTGTCAAGTCTCATAACTTTCTTTTGATTTTGATTTTGCACCATAACATATTAAATGTGGTCCAAATTGTAACTAACATTCTTTCTCTATAAAGGGAAGTAAGAGAAGGGTTAATGTCTTAGTATTTATTGTCTTTGTCTTTAGAGAGTGACTATTGTGCCTTGGGTTATATATATGACCTAAGATAAACAAATGCTATTAGAATACTAACAAGAATGGGGATTCATGAGAGAGAACCTCCCTCCTATTTTTCCATGTCATCCATTAATGAATTTCAGTGCTTAATGTCTTTCTTCACAATGACTCACTCTATTTGGCCTCCTTTACATGACGACTCATGAATTAAGTTTGGTATAAGGGTGGTAGGTTCAAAGAGAACACTAACTCATGGTGTTGATGAAGAGTGTCTATAAGAAGATATGAGAATCATTCCCTAGAATAAACCTTAAAATAATAGTCAAAGGAAAGTCATGATGTTGACCAATTAAGGAGAAAACCTAATAACTTGGCAAATTACATTGCGATTCTTAAATACTAGATGGTTGTAATGATGGAGATGTCAAACAAACTGAGTCATGTGCATCAAGGTTAGATCAAGAATCATAAAAATTGTGCTTAAAAAGGATTTCATCATTAAATTTGTTACAAATTGTGAGTTCTATAGACAAGAAGATGATTTAGAAGCTGAGGATCTTAAGATTTCTTTTATAAGGCGACTTCCATTTTTTGAAAATTTTAATTTCCAATTAATACTTGGTTTTGCTTAACTCAAGTTACTCTCACTCACTTTATTAAGTTAGCCATCCTCAATTTACTTGCTTATACATTTGATTGAGTATATAACCACATTGCCTTAATCTTTTGCGCTAGCTCAACTTGTCACCTGGCCAATGTACATATAGGACATCTAAACTCAATCCTTATTATGATTGACCCTTTTAGAGCTAGAGATAAGCATTCCTCAGCTTAAGGTCTTCTAGATAATCCATTTAGGATTATTCTAGTCTTTGAATATCCCTAGGTATTCTTTTAATTAGCCCAATAAAATTTCCAATTGAGTTCATAGATTAGGCTAATTAGGCTTAACCATAGATTTACCAATATGACCCAATTAAATTTGACTACCAATAGGATGCACCTTAAATTTTAAAGCAATACAGTGAATTTGATCATTTAACTCAAGTTTAACCAAAGTAAACCCTAGCTCAAAGCTAACTTGAGCTTTAACGTGATCCAATGGGTTAATTAGGGATGTAATTCACTAATAAGAGTTTTAATGATCACAAATAATATTCAGTTGAAATGATTTTAAATTAATTTAGCTTTGTCCATGGCTTAGTTTTAACAATAATAGGCATTCACTATTTAAAGATGCAGGTGTTATGCACCATTAATTCTATAATATATTGGACTCGATTGGAGATTTTAGCTCAAGAAAAAAATGTCAAGCTTCACACCTAACAGGCTAAAGTCTTAGGATGAACTACATGCAATCTGGATTGAGAGTTATATAAGTAAAATTTTAGAGATATATTTTAATATTATTTTAGTCATACTTTTAAGTAAAGAAATTGGTAAAGAAATCAATACATAGGCATAAGTGGATTTTATATATAAAAAAAAATTATTAATATAAATTGATCAAAATAGATCGTATTATATGATGTTTATTATATTCTATTATATGATTTGCACTAAAATTTTAGAATTCGATCAAACCAATTTGCATCAATTGATGGATTTTTAAATTAATATCTATGAATTAATTGTACAATACAATTTATATTACAACATAATATCATAATTAAGCTCAAATTAAATTCAGAGTATAATATTTTTCTTAGTTAGATTAATTCAAATATTAAATTATTCACACTACATGACTTGTTTCCTAATTTAATCTAGTTAAGCAATGTGAATTAATGGATAAATTAATACATATCAGACTTAATTGATCATATTGTACAATGTGAATTAGATCATGCAATCAACTTGAAATCAATTTGTAATATACGAATCAATCTATACTAATTGTACTACATGATGAGCATATTGTGTTATACGATCCCCATGACTTTTATTATTAGCCTTTTTTATGGTTTTGTTTTAAATTACTTGATATAAACACTATAAAAATCCTATAACGTGAAAAAGGCTAGAAATAGTAAAAGAAAGAAAAGTGAGGGATTTGCTTTTGGGAGGCATCCTTTACCTTTTCGTTTTGTAAATTTTAAAATAAGAGATCTTATTGTGAGAGTATGCTACTTGGTTGTTTCCCCTTTATTCTTTCACCTCATTCCTTTGATAGGTTTTATGGCTTTTTTGGAGTTTTTTGTTATGATTATATGGCATCTTTGAGAACTTGAAAGGCACTTTGTTTCTTTGGTTGATTAGTTAGTGAGCTAGAGTAGCAATTTTCTTGCTTAGAGTAGAAAAGGGTGTAGGGTTTCTCCATTAAATGTTAAGGAGAGAAGTTTCTCTGAGTTATATTTGTTGAAGGAATTATTATTAGAATGATTGGGAAGAAGACTCAAGGAATGGATGTAGGCCAGTAGGATCGAACCATTATAAATCAATTTACACCCCTATTTTTGCTTGCTTTTACTTATACCTTTTCTTTTGACCACATGATATTTCTCATCAATATTATTCATTGATGTATTAGTGGATGATGATGATGATTTACTTGGCATAAATATGAGATAGGGAAGTTTTCATATGTATACCACTCTTGTAATACCTACTAAAGCCAAGCATAGTTGCACCTGTTTTGATCATATATGGTAAAGGTAATGTAACAAAATTTCTACATTAACACCTCTTGCATGTGCCTATGAGTGTTATGCATGTATGTGAATATATGGATTTATTCTAACGTGTATCTCCGGGGTCTGTGTGCATGAATAAAAAATCTAAATTTTTTTCTCGGGAGCGTTTCAATGCTATATTTGGGTGTTACGACACTAAGCTCTAAGGTTTGTTAGCATTGCGATTGTGTTGTCAGAAGCGCTATGACGCTGAGTTAAATTTTTATGAAAAATATCAATTTTTTACTTCATTCTCATTTTTATAAAACCAACCACTACCAACTATTTAGAGAGGGGGGATTTCTAGTTAGAGAAAGCTAATTTCGGGTGAGTTCAGTCCATTTTCTGTTATCAACACAGTTTAAAAAGTTATCTAGATTAAGGTAGGTTGCATTTTGACAAACTTATTTTTTAAAAATACAAAAGTTTTATTGTGTTACCTATACTTGAAAGGGCAAGAAATTTTGAATATTTGATAGGCCAAATTATAAAAAGGATCACGTTTAATGTCTAAATATGCATAAAGAGCGTCAATAAATTTTTTTTTAAAAAGGAGTGAAAACGGAGGGCGGAAATCTGATTTCTATAGAAACCGGATTATCAAAATCCGGTTTCCTTATATTAATCCCGGTTTCCATTGATTAAAGCCGTATTAAACTCTTATTATCACGTATCAGCATGCTTAAGCACGGGTTTGCGGTGTTAGTGAAGAAATCAGATTTTTGCATTCCGGTTTCTATATTAAATTATTTCTTGCCTATATCCTGTAAAATTAGCTTGTCTGCCCCGTCAATTATGCCTGGATTTTTCTCCTCAATTTTCACGCGGGGCTCGCCATTATCTCCTCCATTTCCAAGCCGGAATCATTGTTGGCGTGCCCGTGATCCACTAAATTCTGCTCCCGTAAAATTCGCTCGTCTTTCTTATAACTTT